CTCAGACAACTGCTGTTATCTCTGAAGATGGTCAATCAGAAAGCAAATACTTATGAAGCCCCTACAAAATACAGACTGAAAAAGGAAAAACAACAACAACATATATATATATACATATATATATATATATTGATACCAAGGAATGATGACAAATGGTCCTCAAATCAAGGAGTTAAGGCCTTCAGAAATTTGAAAAAAAGACAAGCATGTTATAACTTGAAATATATCAGTGCCATAGCATAGTGAGAATAACTGCAGAGGACAGAGGTTCAGAGCTGGGGTTGCAGAGTGGATTGAGTGTGGCAAGTTGAGCACAAGGCCACAATGCCTAGGATCAAATCCCATCCCCTTTGGACTCTGTTGCAAGATCCCAAGGCACTCTGTGCCTCAGTTCCTCAGTCTACAAAATAGGATAATGGTAAGATCTACTGCATAAGATTGTTATGAGGATCAAAGCACATAATACATTTAGAACCGTTAGAACACTAACAGGCACAGAACTATTAGCATCATTAAAAATACTAGGGGTCTTTAAAAGGTTTCCCCAAAGGGGGAGTCTGCTGACAGTAACTCAGATTATAGGGACTGTGAGATAGCTCCTCCCAGTTGACTTGTGAGGAGTTGTGAAATGGAATCTAAAGAGAGTAAAGCCCTCAATAATCCATCTTTGATTTTAGCCACCCTGGACTTCTGGTGCTGAACTGCAGCTTTGCATTTGTAACCTCATTTCTCCCTAGTTTTCTTCTTCTTTATTCACTTGTGTCATTTTAACTTGAATTCAGAAATTTACATCTCTCCCTGTGTTAATATCACCATATCACCATATCACCAGCAAGGGAATCTAGTCTTTTAGAAAAATCAAGAGATTGGACTAGAATCTTAGTGTTTCCGTTTACTGGTTGTGGAAATTCTGGAAAGTCACTTCACACTATGAACCTCAGTTTCCTCATCTATAAAACAAAAGGCTTAGGTCATCTTCATGGCTCCTTCCAGTTCTAAAATGTAAAGGTCTTATAGCTTATTTGTATTTTTTTTCCAAAGTCACTGGTAAAAATTGAACCTTACTTGACCACCTTATATAGACTCTGTTCCAAACTGTTCTCTTTCTCAACCAATTCCTACCACTTTCCCTTGTCCACAAGAGTCCAAGTAATGTCACTAATGCCTTGTTGAAGTCATGGTCCTCCAGGACTACAATTCTTCCCTAAATAGTTCCACAGAGATGTTCTCTAGCGAAATTCATTCTTAGGGAGTGCATGCTCTCCCTTTCTAAGTGCCTGCATGCTCTCTAATAAAAATCTCTAAGGGCACCCGGATAGCTCAGTCGGTGAAGCATCTGACTTGGGCTCAGGTCATGCTCTCACCACTTGTGAATTTGAGCCCTCTGTCGGGCTCTGTGCTAACAGCTCAGAGCCTGGAGCCTGCTTTGGATTCTGCGTCTCCCTCTTTCTCTGCCCCTTCCTCTCTCTCTCTCTCTCTCTCTCTCTCAAAAATAAATAAACATTAAAACAATTTTTAAAAACTCTATTCTAGTTACCAAAACACACCCTTCTTAGTGATTTAATCTTAATTTATATTTCTTGAATTTGCACTTCCTCCTTCTTTTTCTCCCTCTGACAGTCCTCCCCTTATTGAGTTCTCAAAGATTCCTGATGGGGAGTCCATAGATCCATCTGCTATTTCTCCCAAAATTCAAAACCGAAAGCACTCAAATAACGTGATTATGAGTTTTTGTTTAGTCTTCTCTCCCACATTGATGCGAGATACGATTTTCACTGAATTGTATTACCACCTCCAAGTTGGGAAACATTCTCCCTGAAAAGAGGTAAGAAGCAAGAGGGACTAGACAAGGTGTTTCCTTTCACCATCTGGAACCGACTTCTCCAGCCAGTGAGTCTCTCTTTTCACCACGTCTCCTCCTGAAACATAAACACATGACAGTAACAGCAACAACAAAAATCACTTTGCTCCATTTTCACAGTCTGGGTTTTAGTGTCCCTAATTCTTACAGGTGCGTTCCCATCGTTTATGCTGCCCATGGGGAAGCCCAAGGGCCTGACGCCGCTCCAGCACCCATCTCTTGTCACTAGTTCTTTTATCACTCAAAGGCCCCCCTGGGTTCTTTGGAGACCTGGTCTTCACCGTCTTATTGAAACTATTCTGTATAGTCTGAGTTATTTTTCAAATCATTCTGTCTCTCTTAGGCTTTTTAGAGTCTCTCTCCATGAGACGTGCGTCTCTACTTTTAAACCATTTTTTTTTTTTTTTTTTTGCTAACGCATATGTAACTTGATCCTCGTTTTCCTCACCCCACTCCTACTGATAATATAATTGGACAACTTTCTTCCAAAATTTCACATTACCTCCCCAGCCTCAAATTGTTCTTCTTTTACTTTTAAAATGATGTCCAGTGTAGGAGTTCCCCTTATTCCTTCATGCTTTCTCAGAGGGACCATATGGCCAGCCAAGCAAGTCAAAAATGCTGCAGATGCCCAATTTTTAGACAAATGAGATAGGAAACATCCAGCTGACAACTCTCTGGAGATCCCCCAACTCGTGTTCCAAGTTTTATGTTAGTAAGAAAGCTCCTCCTCCCAGCAGCTAGACAACCTGTGGGGGACGCCACGGCATATAGCTCCTGTTCTTCCCTCTTCTTCCCACCTGGGTGTCCTGTGCTCCACCCGTCAGATTCATAGTCACACACTATGAATAATTCTAATAACTGCAATAATTGCCCTTTGATTCTAGCTTTCTGCCTTGCCCAACATGCTACGGCTCATCCTGGGCCCATCCCAGTGCAGGGGATCTTTTCTGCATTGCCATTATTCTACGCATAATTCATTCTATCGTACAGCCTGCCTTATCTGAAAATTGTTTTCAGACATCCTGGAGAGGTAGACATGAAGCCACAGGATCCTACCAGTCAACAGATAACAACTCTTTTCTTAAGCAGCTTCTGATTACTTGTACCCCTCTGGGAGAAGAAAGTTTTGGCAGCTTAAGATCCTTTCACTGTGGCTCCTCGCTGCCAGAAAATAATATTTCTGGGCATTTTTCAGGTCCTTTCATTCTCTGTCTCCCTGAGGGGGTTAGGGTCTTGACGAATATAACTTGAAGATGAGAAAACTGTAGCATCAAGAAGAGGTGGCTTCTCCAGCGCTACCCAGAAACACCATTACCAAGCCAAGCCTGTGCGCAGACAGGGCTCTCTCTTACTGCCAGTCTGCCACCATGGCACATAAATCCGAAGGAAGGCAGGTAATCAGTCTAGAAGTAATGACAGTACTTGTTTATTCCCCCATCAATCAGGCTGAATAAACAAACAATACTCCCATGTTCAAATGAATCGGTGTCGGCCATTTTGTTCAGGGTCTCCTGGTCCTGATACAAGAAGAAACAAATGGCATACTAGCCTTCATCCGCCCAGCCGCCCAGCCACTTCCCTCTATTTCCCCCAGTTCATCCATATCCTAAAACTTCTTTTAGCAAGCTTTTACCAATTGCAAGAAAGATTTGGGTCTTAAATTTGCTTTGTTTTGCACAGTAAATGCCAGTTCTTCTAGCGGTTCTATTTGTAGTTAAGTGAGAGGGACCAGGATGTGAAATGATATAGAAAACATTTTTGATGGCTCTGGGCTATATCAAGTGTTGGTTTTAATAGCAGGCCAGATCTCCAAGAACATGCTGTGTGGCTGTGTATGAACTTGGCTGTTAGTTTCCTTTGCCAGACGAAATGATGATTAATCAGGACTCAGATGGCAGTTGTTTTATGTTACTTGTGCGCTTTGCTAACAGCTGCCTGTTTCAAGCTGTGCTTCCCCTACATGTCAAACGTAAACCTGAAACCACAATTTGCAGAAGGAAAATTTCGAAGCACTCATAGAGTGTATCAGAATATTCAGTGCTGTTTCTGATTAAAGTACAATTAGTATGTAATGTAACTTAGCTGAAGTCAATGTAGAGACAGAAGGGTTCAGGATATGTGAAGTACCCAGGAAAAATTAAAATAAACTTATCATTAGATATACATATAATGTGTGCAGATATTTTGAGATAATATTTTTATGCAAATACTCAATGCATAAAATGCTCCTTGGTAAGCTAGTGTCACTTTCCTTATTTTTTCCTGTAATAAAAAAAAACAGTGAACTATTACTGGTAGGTGAATTATGACAAATTTAAAGTCTTTACTCAAGCTTTAAAACTTGGGAGGAGATGGTTCTTTCCTGATAAGGTCTTCAGTACTTCTTTACTTGTGTTTTAATCAAAACTGCCATAAAAATAGCATTTGTATGCTTTCTTTTCACACAGTCTAAACAGAAACAAAATTTTTAAAGGAAAAAGAAAGCAAAGAAAAGGTTTGTCAAGCTTTTCAGAAGTTTAGAAAAGCCTATGCCAAAAATTGGAGTGGACCAAAAAGAATTGATTTATTTTCCCCCTTAACCTAGATAATAAATGTCTAATTTGGACTGTCCATGTGGCATGAGGTTCCCAAATTAAACTCTTTCAGAGATTGCCATTTTTAGCAAAAGTGGGGGAAGTGAGAATCAGGCAACACCCAGGCTCTTTCTATACAACCGCAGCCAAGTCGACTAAAAACCGGTTTGGCCAATTCCCTTGTAATTCATCCTCTGACTCAGCTGTCGCGGGACCCCAGAAACTTCAACCAATCACATTGAAGACACCTGACCAGGACCGATCTTAGCCAGGGACCTAGCATGAAGTCTAGGAAACAGAGAGGACAGCCCTTCTCACTTCTCTCCTGTGCCCCTTCCCAGAGCATAAGCATTCCCACTTGAAACCCGCTCCCTTGAAATCCAAAATACCGCGCAGGGAAGCTTCTGGCAACGTGCTCAGACTTTAGCGATCGGGAGGTGAAGAGGGAGCTGGGCCAACAGTCTGGTGTTATTCACTTTTCCCGTGCATTTACCACTAGGTTTCTAAAACAAAGCCTTCTCTTTCTCGTCCCCTCCCCCACGCCTGCCACCCCCCCCTCCCAGGTGGCAAACCTGCTTAGGCTCTTCCAGATCCCTCAGATAAGCTACGCGTCCACCAGCGCCAAACTCAGCGACAAGTCGCGCTACGATTACTTTGCCAGGACCGTGCCCCCGGACTTCTACCAGGCCAAAGCCATGGCCGAGATCTTGCGTTTCTTCAACTGGACCTACGTGTCCACCGTGGCCTCGGAGGGCGACTACGGGGAGACGGGGATCGAGGCCTTCGAGCAGGAGGCCCGCCAGCGCAACATCTGCATCGCGACCGCCGAGAAAGTGGGCCGCTCCAACATCCGCAAGTCCTACGACAGCGTGATCCGCGAGCTGCTGCAGAAGCCCAACGCGCGCGTCGTGGTCCTCTTCATGCGCGGCGACGACTCGCGCGAGCTCATCGCCGCCGCCAGCCGCGCCAACGCCTCGTTCACCTGGGTGGCCAGCGACGGCTGGGGCGCGCAGGAGAGCATCGTCAAGGGCAGCGAGCACGTGGCCTACGGCGCCATCACGCTGGAGCTCGCTTCGCACCCCGTCCGCCAGTTCGACCGCTACTTCCAGAGCCTCAGCCCCTACACCAACCACCGCAACCCCTGGTTCCGGGACTTCTGGGAGCAGAAGTTCCAGTGCAGCCTCCAGAACAAGCGCAACGACCGGCGCCCGTGCGACAAGCACCTGGCCATCGACAGCAGCAACTACGAGCAAGAATCCAAGATCATGTTCGTGGTGAACGCGGTGTACGCCATGGCCCACGCCCTGCACAAAATGCAGCGTACCCTCTGTCCCAACACCACCAAGCTTTGCGAGGCTATGAAGATCCTGGACGGGAAGAAGTTGTACAAGGACTATTTGCTGAAAATCAACTTCACAGGTAAGCAAGGAGCTTTGTCTCATCTTCTGTGGAGGTGAACAGGTGGAATCAAACGAGAATCCAATACCTCTGCCCCTGACCCGGAAATCCGCGTTTCGGAGCCACAGAAAGGGTCCAGCCTGTTACACAAATATCCCAAGATGCAATATGATGGCTCTGATGTTCTTGCTTATTTTTGAGGGAATATCTTGGCTGATAGACTCTGCGAAATTGAAAGGCTCCCAAGGCTAGGCTGATCTGTGATAGCTGCCTACATGCGCGCTATGCCACGTTTGCTCCCTTTCTTGTTAGCTGTAGGGTATGACACGTGTGATACGGGCATTTAATCTCCTTTAGCAGAATTGGCAACTCTCTAAGGAACATGAACTTCTAAGCCCTCTTTGTGGGTGACTTGAGCAAAGGAATCTAATAACTTTCACAGTGGGTGAGAGAGAGAAAAGTCGCTGTTTTCCCAGAGCTTAATTAGGGGGCAAAGGGAAAAACACTCAGACCGTGGTGATTTCCAAGCATTTGAGTTTATTTCTTCTGCTATACAGAAATATTTCCATGTTGGCACTAAGAGATGTGGATTTTTCTCAAATGACATTATGATATGAGACTTTCTCTGAGAGCTTGAGTATAAGCAGATTGAAGACTGGTGGGAGCCATCTCAATACCCCAGTGAATAGGCAAAGGTGTATTTGAAGTGGCTTTTGTTTCCTCTTCCTTTGATTCTAAACATGGTCAAGTATTTCTAAATATAGCATTGCATTTCAATGCATTACTAACATAAAAAGCACAAGATTTGTAGGTTTGATTCCTATACTAAGGTGCATATGATAACAGAGCATTAAGGCACTGGCTCTGAGGACTTTAGTTTATCCCAAATCATAAATGGTAAGTAATATTAAAAGACCCCAAAAATTGATGCCAGAAATACTACAGCGATAAAATGCTCTCATTTGCCTAAATTGCTAATAATAATAATCTCCCATGCCATTAGAGCATCTTTCTAATCTGGACAGTCTGTTTCAATTGACTTATCTCCCAAGACATGAAACTCTGTATGTTCAAATCATACTGTGTTTGGAATCAGCAGCAGTTCCCATCTTTATAGATGATCACTCAGAAGTCAAATGACCTGAAAAATCACTGGTAATTTTGAGAGAGGACCCCATGATCATTGGTTCCTATTCCAGAATTCTAATTCCTAAACCAGCCTTGAAACTAAGCACAAAATTTACCAGCCTGCATTTTGCACATCTTTTCCTCATTCTACCCAGAGGGAGTCAAAAGTAGTAGAAATCAGTTATGTCAATATTCCCTCCTATTCATCTAGTAGATATTTCTTACCATTAGAATGACTGTATATAAGTGGTAAAGATGAAACTCTTTCTGTGCCCTGTAGCCCCACAGATGCATTCCATATAGAAATAATATATATTTACCTCAAAATCCCAGATCAGTTTCTGCTGCCATCTCCAGAAAGTAAGAAAGGACCATGGAGTCAGTAAAAAAGAATCTTTACTCTAAATATAAATGAATTTCTCAAGTATCTGTAAATAGCATCTACAATGCACTTAATTCTAAAAGATAAATAAGATAAGCATCCTTCCTACCACCCCACCCCCCCCTTTGGACCATCCCCGGGGTAATTGTTTACCTTTATTCACCACATGTATTCATTAACTGTATTACTGTAGTTCATTCCTTACTCCTTAGTATGCCAACACACCAATCTATCCACTCAGCAGCAGCTACTATAAAGGGAACTCTTGGATTTCAGTGAGACCTTGCAAGGTATTCTCTGTAACCACAATATTTTCCTTCATTTCATGGCCTGAGTCTTAAGGGGCAAAGAAAAGTGAAGAAATAAGGCCATTATTCAGAAAAATGAAACGGAATCATCTTTTTGTCTGTCTTGTTCAATTACTGGCTTTGATTCTACAATTTGGTTCGGCTTTATAAACTTGACCACAAAATGCTATTTTAGCCTTCTCAATTTGTTGAACATTACAAGTCATTCTCCATCTCTGAAGAGAGGAGAAGGGGGAAAACAAAGAGAGGAACTTAGACCAACCACCAGGGCCATAGTGCTTAGTAGTGTGACACTTGGACAAGAAAATACCTTACTAACGGAGGACAGTGAGGGGCTAAAGGAGCTAAATATGGACATTAAAAAAAATAATGCTAACCTGGTTATCTACTGAAAAACAGGTATTGTTTTACATTTTTTTCCGAAATAGTATCTTTGTTTTTCTGACTTGAATATTGACACAATGGACAATGTTTACAATAGTAAACAGCAAACAATCTTTGCTCAGTTTGCTCAGGCGGGCCGAACAAGTCCCCTTCCAGCCATCAGCTTGTACTCCGCGCATTTGCTACAAGATTATTCTGACAAGGGGTAGTTGCTGCCAATTCCCTAAGGGCTGTAGCCATTACAGGATGGAAGAGCTAAGCCTCCTGAGAATTTTAATTACATACATGAAAATACTCTTGGTATTGGTATTGGTAAAATACTCTTGGTTCCTTGGTATATTCCCACTAGCTAGTTCGAGTGTTGGCCGCCATGAGTATCCTTGAAGTTAACCTAGTTTCAACATTCATTTTGCAAAAAAGATTTTGCAGAACTATGCTTTGTTAAAGATTCTTCAAAATAGTGAGCTCTCCTGGTGTAGGATCTAACCACTGTCTACCTCCCTAGACTCATCTTTTGTTCTGCACCCCACCTTCACCCTTCCTTCCATAAAGACTACTTGCAGTTCTCCAAGTACATCCTGCTTTTGTATCCTCTGTGAATAAAATATACATGTAATGTACATGTCTGCTTCATCCATGCAGAACACTCTCACCCCATCTTCATCTGTCTCATCTAGTACTTTCACTTATTCAGTCTTCACTGCAACCACACTGGTCCAAGCACCAACATCTCTAGGCTACATTTCTACAATAGCCTCCTAATTGATTTGCTCTTGCCCACTTCCAACCCAGCCTCTGCAACCCATTCTCTACGGGACAGTCAGAATGACCTTTTAAAACTCAAACCAGGGATGCCTGGGTAGCTCAGTCAATTGAGCATCCAACTCTTGATCTCACCTCAGGTCATGATCCCAGGGTCGTGGGACTGAGCCCTGCACTGGGCTCTGTGCTGAGCCTGGGGCCTGCTTGGGGATTCTCTCTCTTTGCCCCTCCCCACTCTCTCTCTCTCTCTTTCTCTGTCAAATAAAAAAAAATTATAAAAAGTAAGATAAAACTTAAATCAGAGCAAGTCATTCCTCTGCTCATAACCTCTTAGGGAGTTCCCCCATTTCTCTCAACAGTAAAAGTCAAATAATCCTTGCAGTGTCTTACAAATGTCCTCGCGAATCCACTCCCTCCCTGTCCCTCTTACTCTGTCACCACCTGTTACGCCCCCCTTTCTTACTGCACTCCACAGTTGTTTCCAAACTCAGGGCTTTTTCACTGCAGGTCCTCTCTCTACCTGTGATGCCCCTCCCCTCCCCCCACATTCCTATGGCTAGTTGATTCCTTCAAGCCTTTACTTAAATTTTTAAATTCCTTCAAGCTTCTTAGCTTTTCAAGGAGGCCCACCAGGCAACCCTTCTGAAAATTGCAGTTCACTGCCCCCGCCCCACCGCAGGTTTGCCCTGCTTCTTTTTAAGCTGTTTTACTTCTTTTATACACCATGGTTTTTTTCCACTTTCTCTCATACCGTATCATTTATTTTCATGTTTATTCTCTATTGTTTGATCTTCATGTTTGAGTATGAATTCCATGAAAACAGGAGTCATTGATGTAGCTGATGCATTCATGTAGCCAATCAGCATGTAGCTGATCACTGATGTAGCTCAAGCAAAATAAGCACTCAGTAAATATTTATTGATTAGGAATAGCACTTGACACCCAAACTTACATCTCCTTCTCTGTCTCCATTACTAGATTGTGAGGTTTTTCAAAGCATAGAAGATATGTTTCCTCTCTAATCCGAAATACCCAAACCCAGTTTCTGGTGCAGAGTGGGCACTCCACAAATGTTTACTAAAGAAAGGAGGAATGAGGAAAAACCACCAATAGTTTTATTCATTCTTTTTAGGAAAACTTAATGTATATATTGTGTTCACTAACAAACGAATTTCAACAAAGAAAAGTATCTGACATCTAGAATAGCCTGCTTTTATCTAAGCACCACCCTTTAGTTGAGTTCTATGATTGTATTTGAGATAAATTTAAGACCTAACAGAGCTCTGGACCTCCTACCCATCCCTGTTTTATAGATGAAGTGATCTGTCCAAGGTTGGACAGGTGTCACTGACTAGTGACAGGAGCAAAGACTGAAATCCAGGGTTGAAATCACCGGATCCAGGGCTCCTTTTATATGGAACCAAGGACCTAGGAAGCTGAGGACTTTCATCCCAAATACCTAACATCATTTCTGATACGTGTTAGATATTAATGGAATGTTTATTAAAGGAATGAAAGACAGTCAGTCAACAAGTATGAAATACGCTTCTTTTTGTGCTCCTCTCTGTGATTCCTTTAATGTTCCTGAGCCACATTCCAATCAGTTGGAGCAGAGATGGTTCATAAAACACCCAAACCTTGGAAGCTGAGCCTTAGAATCTAAACCTTAGGATATTATAAAAGTTTTTCAGGGACGTCTGGGTGGCTTAGTCAGTTGAGCATTTGACTTTGGCTCAGGTCATGATCTCATGGTCTGTGGGTTCGAGCCCCACATTGGGCTCTGTGCTGACAGCTCAGAGCCTGGAGCCTGCTTCAGATTCTGTGGCTCCTTCTCTCTGCCCCTCTTCCACTTGCACTCTTTCTCTCTCTCTCTTTCTCAAAAGTAAATGAACATTAAAAATTTTTTTTAATGTTTTCAAAGGTTTTTTTGTTGTTAGTAAAATTTTCTCCATCTGAAAGAGTCATGTCATGGAGAGTTCTGGAAAAAAATATTTAAGTGCGAACTGTGTTAATTGTCATTTGACTTTTCGAAATTACTTTGAATAAAATTCCATGTGCTCATCATGCAAAAGGAAAGCTTAAACTACCAAGTGAGTTAAAAACATAGGAAATAGAGAGGACCATTAAACCTCCAAAGAAATGCAATATCGCTGGCATTTCTGTGTGTTCGCAGTACAGTACAATCCCTGTCACTTTTTATTCTGAGACCAATTCCAGAAAGTGGAGGAGAATAAAATCACAGAGTGACAAAAGGCCTTCCTCAAAGATGAACTTGCCCCTACTCCTCACTTGACAGAGGTGGAAATTCAGGATGTCAGCATTATTATCTTCACTTACTGAAGCACATAAAAGTGAACTCAACTGTCAGAGTGATGTGGTAACCAGAGTACACCCAATTCAAAAGAAAAAAGGGAAGCGCTCCCACTTTCTGAACATACTGCCGGAGGTGCTCCAAGATGCATGCACGATCGAGGAGGCACTTGCTTGGAAATAACATTTGGGCCTTCCTCTGTGATCTGCAGGTGTTGGTGGGCTGGAGTGTTTGAGAGTGGAGAAATTGAGAACTTGACACAACAGGATATTTATCCAAGATCACTGAATGAAATAGGTGACATCGACATCCTGATTCAGACATTCATTCCACAGAAAAGTTTAGACTTCATGCTGGGCCCCGGGGACAGAAGAATAAATAAGACAGATGCAGTTCCTCCTTTAGGGAGCGACTCAAGTAAAGAAGCAGGATTATTGGGAACTTCAATGTTATGGCCTTAGCCCAGCTTTTGGGTTCCTTTGGTTTCCGTTTTTGTTTTGAATTGGAAAACGATTCTGTATCTTAGGCCCAGAATAAATCTCCAACTCACTGAGCAAATCTCACTCCCAGGACTTGACTTACGGGCGAAGAGGTCAACTCCCTATTGTTGCTGGACTTGTGGTCATACCAGGACTGGACAATAGGACACACAGCAATGACAGTTTCTGTTGTTAATGTTGTGGTTGCTCATTTTTGCGTGTTTTTTCTTTTTTCTTTTTCTGGGGGCGTGGGGGATGGAGAGGTGAGGCACACTCACCTCCTGGTTCCAGCCAGGAGACAGGCTGCTGAGATCAGAGAGCTGCAGCCTGGTGGCAATGGCGCAGGCTTGTCCTTACGTTTACAGTCCTGCACACCTCGAGGAGGAGTAGAGGCAGAAGATGAGTAATCCAGCCTCACTGTCCCACTCAGCTCTGCGTCTGACTCATCCAGTAGGTCCAAGGATCACTCCTGGTCGGGACTGTAATCGCAGAGCACAGGCCAGGAAGGGCAGATTTTCTGGAACACTGCACTCCAAGGAATATGTTTGAGCTGGCCCCAACCCAGCAAGGCTCTCCTCTTGAAAAGTACAGGGCCATCCAAGGCACAGCGAGGAAGCCAAAATGGTAATGGCCACGTCTTTGGATGAATGGGCTTTGAAGTCCCTGAAAGAGCAAACTGCTCTTGATCTTGCTTCCTCCCCTGGAACATTTGTAGTTCCCACAAAAGCACAGAAACTTGTTCCAGCTCTGCTGATCAAAAGCATTTCCAAAATGTAAAGATAAATATCCTGTACTTCTTTCTTCCCTTTTCTCTCTGGTCAGCTTCCTGGGGTCACAAGAATAAGATTTAAACCCCCAAAGGACACTGCTAATGTGGTTACTTATTTGTTTATGTGCCATGCATCTGTGCTCTGGTGTCTTAGAGGCTTGAGAAATGGCTCTCATTTTAAGGTCACACAGTGGAGAACAGGAGCCTCTAGAAAACCTCATTTTCCACTTTGGCCTGAGCTTTCTGCTTTCTGCTGTTTTCTGCTGCTGATAAGTATTCTTTTCATATAGCTGATATTACTATTATCATTATTTCATAATCCTTAATTTATCTTGATTTGTTTGAAGAGCCATCCTGTCTATAAAGCAGAAAACAGTAATAGTCCCCAGTGAAGAATAGAAGAAACGGATTCTCCCGCCTTGCCCATCAGAAAAAAGTATAATAAATATACTATCTCCTAGATGTTTCCAGCCTTTGTGGACGCTGTGGTGTATTTATAGGAATATCACTTACAAAGGTGTCTGGAGATTGAGGAAAATATTCCGAGCATTTTCTAACACTATAGCTAACATCTAGTTTAAAAATAAGTTTAACCTGTGTTCTTGACCTTTGGGACCCCTGGTGTTATCCCACAATAACCTGATCTTTAAAGGTTTCTGATCTCAGTTGAATTGGTAACACTGTTTGTCTACTGACATATACCTTTGTGCTACTATTCATCTTCAAGAGAACACTGGAAAGCCAAAATAGATAAAGGAAGTATTTCTGATGGATTTAGAAAAAAAAAAATTCTGCCCCCGATGGCCACCAGATAGTGAAAAAGGGGACTTTTCTCTGAAGATTTTCAAAGATTAAATTGTCATCTAATGAAGCAGGCGGTTATGGGAGATCCTTCGCAGAGCTGGGTTTAGTAGGAACCTAACAAAATCACCCTAATACCAGAGGATTGAACACAGCTTCTGAAAATTAAGGATGTGATGCAGCCTGAGGATAGGTGCTGAGGATGAGGACTAAAGAACTCAATGCCTGCTCACTATCCTCACCTCCCTTTTTCTTTAAACATTTAACAAGTGATCGTTAGTCACTGTATGTGATATCACCAGGCAAGATTACATAGTTGTCCTTCACATTCTTTCTCCAAACCCCTAGCATTATATATGGGGTTACTATCAGCACCCACTTGTATCTAGTTCATTCCAAAACAATGATATTTAAAGGATTCATCCCACTGCCTCAGATCAGGTGGCAGGGTCCCCAGAAGTTATAGTACTAAGTGACATTTCAGAATATCTGAAAACTTAATTCCATAACAAAATTCTAAGTAATTTTACTAGCACGGAGTTGACCATAAGTTACATTTCCAAAACAATATCTCAAATACAAAATTATGTTCATACACACACTAAGCTGCAGAACCAAGTATGATTAGTGGTCCCATGACTATTAATATTTTTTAAATTTTCAATTAAAAAATGTCTTCCGGTTTTATTGAGACATTGATTTATTTATTGATAACATTCTGTAAATGTAAGGTATACAACGTGTTGATTTGATATTTATTGGAGAGTGATAACCATCATATCATTAGCTATTGCCTCCATCCTATCACATAAGTACTACTACTTTATTGTGTTGAGAACTATAATCACCGTGCTGTGCTTTAGATCACCAGAATTTATTCATCATACAACTGGAAGTTTATACTCTTTGACCAACAATTCCCCCAATCTTCTAGTCCCTGGTAAACACCATTCTCATCTCTGTTTCTGTGAGTTCAGCTTTTTTAGATTCCACATAAGTGATATCATACAGTGTTTGTCTTTCTCTGTCTTATTTCATTTAGCATAATGTCCCCCAAGGTCATCCATGTTGTCACAAATGGCAGGATTTCCTTCTTTCACATGGCTGAATATTCAGTCGTATATATACCCCATCTTATTTATCCCTTCATCTATTGACCATTAGGTTGTTTACATATCTTGGCTATTGTAAATAATCATTCAATGAGCTTGGGAGTGTTGATATCTTCTCAATATCCTGTTTTAATTTCCTCCAGAAACATACCAAGAAGTGGAGTATCTGAATAATATGTTTGTTTATTTGTTTGTTTGTTTGTTTTGGGAAACCACCATAGTGGTTTTTACCAATATTTTGTCATAGTGGCTTTACCAATATACATTCCTACCAACAGCGCACAAGGGCTCCCTTTTCTCCATATCCTTGCCAACACATTATGTTTTGTGTGTTTGATGATACCCATTCTAACAGGTGTATGGTTATATCTCATTGTGGCTTTGATTTGCATCTCCCTCATGATTAGTGATGGTGAGCATCTTTTCATGGACTGGTTGGCTATTTGAATATGTTCTTTGGAAAAATATCAGTTCAGTTACTCTGCCCATTTATTATTGGATTGCCTATTTGTTTTTGAGTTGTAGGAGTTCTTTATGGATTTTAGATATTAACCCTTTATCACATAGTTTGCAAATATTTTTTCCCATTCTATAGGTTCCCTTTCCATTTTGTTGATGATTTTCTTTGCCATGCAAAAACGTTTTCATTTGATGTAGTTTCACTTGTTTATATTTGCTTTTGTTGCCTTTGCGTTTGGTGTCAAATCAAAAAAACCATTGCCAAGACTGAGGTCAAGGAGCTTACTCCCTATGTTTTGTTCTAGGAGTTTCATGGTATGAGGTCTTATATTCAAGTGTTTAATTTATTTCAATTCTCTTTTCTGTATGGTGTAAGCTAAGGGTACAGTTTCATTCTTTTGCATGTGGCTGTCTAGTTTTCCCAACTCCCTTTATTAAAGAGACTATCTTT